ACTGCTTCCTAGTCCATGGATTTTGTGATATCCTGAAACTAAGGTACCACAGAGACCATGTTGACCTCACAGTCACTTCTTTATTTACCAAACTGGGGCATGCGCAACAAATAAACTGGCGCTGCTCTCCAACAACTGTTGCCCCGTGGTGGACAAATCCCTGCTACATCATAACATTCCTCCCACCTTAAACTGAAACTACCCTGTAGTTTTAATTTCTACACAAAATACCCATTAAGAAAAACTTAACCTTTATTAAAATGTAACACAACCCCCTTCCCAGCCTTTACTTAAATTTCACTCGCTAAATAATTAACCAATCCAACAGTCTTAGGTTTTTCCTATAACAGTTTAACATTACCACGTAGGAAACAGGCTCCATCATTTCCTGTCCTGGTATCCATTTGGGTCCCCCGTCATAGTTTCTGGTACATACTGTGTCTCCAATAACAAACATGCACTCCTTGGCATGTCTATGATGACACAGTCTTTGGCTATCCTGTTTTGTTGTCACTTTCTGTTTCAAGTCGAGGTGTATGAGATCAAGTGTACACCTCAACTTCCTGCCCATCATCAACTCAGCGGGAGACTTCCCTGTTGTGGACGTTGGTGTGATTCGGTAACTTTACAGAGCCCTGTTTAACTTGGTTGCCACTGTGTCTCCAGTACTCTTTTTCACGAGTTCTTTGAAAGTTTGTACCACCCTTTCTGCTAACCCATTGGATGCTGGGTGATATGGAGCAGAGGTGACATGTGTGATGCCGTTCTTTGCCATGAACTCTTTAGTTTGTGCACTTACGAAACACTGGGCATTGTCTGAAACCATTATTTCAGGAAGGCCGTGTCGTGTGTACTGAAACAGTTTTTCAAGCAGTCTATGGTTGCAGCTAATGCAGCTGATGCCACTGGATACACATCTAACCATTTGGAGTGGGCATCCACTATTATTAAGAACATCTTACCCAAAAAAGTGCCAGCATAATCTATATTTATTCTCCTCCATGGCTTCTCCGGCCACTCCCAGGGGTGTAGCGGTGCCTCTTGAGGGCTGTGTCTATGGTCTTGACGTACCGCAGGATTTCACCTTGTCTTCAAGTCAGTCTCCATCTGTGGCGACCACATTTTTAACTTCAAACTACTGTAACAGAGTTTCCTTTTGAGTGGGCGAAGAAAGTGCAGCCTGGAATCCACATTTTTTTTCTATTTAGGCTATATAATGATCACTGTGCACAGTGGTGGGGCAGTAAATGCAAGTAACTGAAAAGTATTTTAAAGGTAAATGCCTGAAATCAGAGACCAGGTCCTCGCTCTGTCTCGTAAATCAGACACTCTGTATTGTAATGTGCTTATTTGCATCCATTTTGCATCACACGTCGGCATCAGACCTATGCAGATCGGTCTGGTTATCCACCTACATTTTCTGCTGAATATATTTGTTATCATTATGTATCATCAACCAACTTTTTGCATTATTTCTCTCTTTGCTGTGCTGCTATCTTTCTGCATCACGGTTTCCCTTCCATTTCTCTGACATTGTCTCTCTGTCACTTCTCGTTTTTCCTCAAAATACCCTGGGGCAGTTTTCTTCATGCCCAACATGCAAACTAAAACTGTCAGGTAAGAGAATTAACTTTTTCTAAGCGAAGCTCCGCCTATCTCCCTCTGGTTCCTTGTGTTTACCAGCAAGGCCACGCCTCAAAGCCAGCCCCCCTCTAAAGGTCTAGATGTAACCAAGTCAGTGAGCATTGAAGCAACAGCAGCTGACACATCACATTCATACATTTATGGTGCTCCCTGTGTCCAGGGTAAGGTGCTTTATATGTCTATATTTGCACAAATTAATGGATCAAGGAAACAGGTGTTTTGTAGCCCAATTGCTGAGTTCTGTTTTAAATTCAGACTAATACAAGAAAGGATGAGGACAAAAATATAGTAGTAGGAAACAAGTGGCCTGGCGAAATAAAAAGGGCACAAGTCTCACTCATTCGGTTCTTGTTGTATCATGTGCCAAGAGAACCACGTTATAATAAAATCAATTGGAAAAGAGAAATTAAAAAAGAATATTAACAGAAAAATGGATTAAATAAATGTTTTCAACTGCTTTCTAAAGGAGTCCACAGAGTGAGCACAACAGAGTTAGAGTGGTAAAGTGGCAACTTGCTCAACCTGTAGAGCAAGTTGTATTCAAACCTCTGTGGGAGTGCCAGAATAGAGTCTGAATTATATTGGTTCATGCGTCACACTGCAGCCATAGTGTAATCTTTGTTATGTTTATGGATGTTAATTTATCCTAGTCTCTTTAAGACATTTAATTAAGAGAAAGCTGTCTGCATTGTCACATGAAGTGAAAGAGAAACATATGCAAAAAGATAGATAGATAAGAAAGAGGGCAACATTGCATCTAAAGCGAACAGAAAAACAAGTTGTGGTCACCTCCCTTTAGACCAGATATGCTCTTCTCTCTGAGGTTTTGTTTATTCACTGAGAATCACTGCAGTCTGTGTTTGCATTTTGTATGAACAAAAATCACATGCCTTTTACATTTGTGAATAGCAATGAATAGCAACTGCACGATGGTAGTAGGCTGTGTGTTTATAAATCCTTCTTAAAGCTCTTCTTTTAAGATGATGCCAGAAGATTTCCTTTAAGAATCATCCTGATGGCGGCCAAACATCTGAGTCTCGAGGCCCCGGCTGAGGCACACTGTGAGATTAATGCTGCTGGTTCTATTGTCCATTAGAAGGAGAGGTAAAAGGTAGGCAACTTCGGCAGTAATTGAATGTGTCTTGCCTTCAGTAGCCCATGTTGTGATTCTGAAGTCGAGTCTTTTTATGCTGTGTAATTTAATAGTCAGGAATGTTGTATAATAGAGAAAATAGCAACTGATTTGACAGCTCAATATCTCTATAGCGATGCTGAGATGTTGAGGGAAAGTGTTTCTGAATTCAAATAGTCGGGATTAGACGTGACAGAACTGAAATGGAACAGTGGACAGTGAAGCTGTTATCCAACATGTTCCCTGTCAGGCTGTGTGCATTTACCAGAATGAGATGTAAATGTAAAAGAGAAGCTTTTGTTTCTTGTTGTTGAAACCCGTTTGTAGCACAGCAGAACTTCTTTATGTCTAAATCCTAAAAATCCTAAGATCAAAAAACCTTAGTCTGTACATGGGATTTCATGTGATAACAAAGATGTTGTTTCAAAGAGTTGGCTTATAATGCCGCAGGTGTGGGTTTGGTTCTTTCCATAAACGGAAAATTTTGATGGTGACTCACTCACTCACTCACTCGTGGGATGAGACATAGATTAAAAAAGAAAAGCAAAAGAATAATGAGCAATAACCATGACATATTTGACATAACAGCTGACATATTTGCAGTCGCAATGGCTTAATTCGTGAGACTTCATATTTAACTCATCAGTAGTTAAGAATAGCTTTTTGTAGTTTGCAATTGCATGCGTTAGCTTTGGGGAACATTACTAGAAAAAAACTGCAGTGGCTTCGTAGTTGCTGTTGTAGAAATACTCCAAGAAATGCACTCATACACAGTTTGGCACACACATGACAAACATCAGCCAGTAAATGTACAGGATCATCATAATGCTGTGAGTTGACAAGATAAAAAATTAAAATACTGAAATCTTTAAAGGCACACTCCATGTTGAGTTTTTTGTTTGCTATGACTGCTGAGTCATTATGTCAGCTTGAACTCACTGCTAATCTTAATACATCTATTATATTCATCCCGAAAAATCTTTGAAATATGTATCTAACTAGATCTAACCAGATAAACTGGATGGCATTGCATTGGCCTCCAGTAACACTGTGAGGAATCTTGTAGCGGTGTTTGAGAAATCTTTCAATGCGCATATTAAATAATTAAGTTGGACTGCTTTCTTCCTTTTGCACAATATTTCCAAATGTAGAAAGACCCTGTCTCAGAGTGAAACTGAAAGTTCATGCTGGACTACTGCAAATCGTTATTATCAGGATGTTCAAAGAATTCCATGAAGAGTCATCAGTTGATTCAAAATGCTACAACAAGAACACTGACAGGGACTAAATGATAGCATATTTCTCTAATTTTGGCTTCTATTCATTGGCTCCCTGTTAAATCCAGAATTAAATTTAAGATCCTTCTCTTCACATACTAGGTCTTGAAAAATCAGGCCACGTCTTATCTTAAAGATCTCATACTACCATATCACCTCAATAGAATAGAGAAGTTCACTCTCAGACTGCAGGCTTACTTCTGGTTCCTTGGGTATTTAAAAGTAAAATGGGAAGTAGAGCCTTTAGCTATCAGGGCTCTTCTTCCCCTCTTCTGTGGAACAAGCTCCAAAACTCACAGACACTGCTGAAGAACTTCCCATGATGCTCTGAATTTTACTTCTTCACTCATCTACTACACCTCTCTGCATTTAATCATTAGTTATTATTAATCACTGGCTCCCTTCTACATTGCGCATTTTATTTCTGGAGGGTTCGTTATGTTAAATACAAGTTTTTCCTCCTCACTGTTGCCTAAGTAGTTGTTCAAATGTGTGTGTGTGTGTGTCATGCATATGATCTCATTGTATATAAATCTTTATTTAGGACATTAACTTAAATTAGAGGCTTTTATTATATTTAACTCATTGGACCAGGACTTTACAAACCACTGACTGGCATCATACTGCTTCAAGTATTTTAACTACAAAGATTCTTCTAACATATTTTCTTGTTTCATTGCTCAGGTTTAGATCAGGAACTTCATTCCACCTGATCTCTTCAGGAGATCAACCATACTCCTCAAATTTCTGTCCCGTTGTCCCCCTCCAAGGCAGCAGTCATGAACTGGAATTGGCTGGAGGACCTCATCAGTGGGGTCAACAATTACTCCACAGTGTTCGGTCGAGTCTGGCTCTCAATGGTCTTCATCTTTCGGGTGATGGTGTTTGTGGTGGCGGCTCAGCGAGTGTGGGGAGACGAGAGCAAAGATTTTGAATGCAACACTAAACAGCCAGGCTGCGTCAACGTGTGCTACGACCACATCTTCCCCATCTCCCACATCCGCCTGTGGGCCCTGCAGCTCATCTTCGTCACATGCCCGTCACTGATGGTTGTTGCCCATGTCAAATATCGAGAGATGAAGGACTTAAAGTACACCACAACCCATGAGGGTAAACACATGTATGCCCGCCCTGGGAAGAAACGTGGAGGACTGTGGTGGACATACCTGGTAAGAATGAAGGGTGCTAAAGTTTAATTCCACTGTTATTGTGTATGCCAAACATAGAAGGAGATTTGCAATTATAATGTATGAGCAAAAAGCTCCACCAAACTGATGTGAAGTTGTGTGACTTTGCAGGAGTGGTCTACGATAATGCAAATTTTGGTATCTATCAATATCAAGTATTGCAAAGACATTCAGATATTTTTCACAGTGTATGTCTGATGTATTTTTTTATTTCTAAATATATATATACTGAACTTAGAGGATAGAAACAAAGTACAGATCATATCACCCTAGTATCGATCTGATACTGAAAGAAACTCTATTTTAAGCGGTTCTATGCTTTCAAAGCTTCCTTTAAACAGTCATATAATATGTACCTACAGTGGAATGTGGGACTATTATGTCTGTAACATGGTGTCTTTTTTCTTGTCTTTAATTTCAATTAATTAGCAGCAATTATGGAACATTTAAAATTAATTCTGTCAAACACAGTCATTAACAATGGAGAAATCCATGAGATTTTTCCTACTTTAACACTCATTTGTCTTCTTATAGGTGAGCCTGATCTTAAAGGCAAGCTTTGATGCTGGTTTCCTGTACATCCTTTACCACATCTACGAAGGGTTCGACTTACCACGTTTGTCCAAGTGTTCCCTGGCTCCTTGCCCGAACACGGTGGACTGTTACATATCCCGCCCCACAGAGAAGAAGATCTTCACTCTCTTCATGGTGGTGTCCTCTGCTCTCTGTATCTTGATGTGTATCTGTGAGATGTTTTACTTCATCGGCAAGAAAGTCAAGAAACGATTTAAGAGGAAAATAGATGCAAACAGGCAGGCGTTCGCAGAGACTCACGAGCTGAAGCCACTGTCAACAGCTTTTCCAAGGCACAAGTCTAGATCATCTTTGAGAGTGGATCCAACAGTGTCTAACCAGAACCTAAGTAACATCAAGACAGAGGAGACACCAACTGTGAAATAAGAATCATCTTGCTCGGGCTACTCTGAAAAACTAATTGAATAACTCCAGGTGCTACTGGAAGCAAATGCATCCTTCCGACGGCTTGCAGAACTGTTACTCATAGGGAGAAGAAATACCCAGTGATTTGTAAATAAAACTTTGTTAAACAATATTCTGCATGGAAATCGACACCAAAATTGCAGATGAAAAGGAAGCTATTTTTGAGTAATGATGCTTTATATGTGTATGGTGTGTGTGTCTGTATTCATGTTTTTATGTAACCTGCGCATCACTGGCCAATAGTAAATTGTGATAAGCTGTTAGATAAAGTCCTTCTAATGGATTAAACTTTAAAAGGTTGAAGGTCCTAAACTCCTGTAGATACCGAACAGATGGTGAACAACTTTACCTGAAAATACAGATTGACAAAGCAGAGCACCTTCCTGAACACAGTGATTGTTTGTTAAAGCATTTTACAATTATCAAATGGTTACTGCCTGTCAGTTAGGAAAAGTACATGCTGTAAGTAAACCCTTTATTCACCATAGCATTACACACTGAGTCACTCACAAGTACTTTACAGTAGAGATACCCATATGATCCCGCCATACTTGTTCTGGCGTCATCCGTTTTTTTTACGCTACCGTCCAATCAGAAGCAGAGGACACGGGTGCGGTTTTGATAGATAGGACAATGCACCAATGGTGAGCGGAAATCGGACGTCGCCGTATCTGCCCTTACGGACGCTGTCAAAAACTAACGGCTTTCAACTACGGACAAGTATTGAATTCCCGCATTTTATATTTTGTTTTTGTCTTCATAATAACATACTAATGTTGTTTATTGAGTTTGTTATCTCCTTTATTGGCTAATATGACAGAACTAACAGCACCACAACTAGTTTCGGTTCTTCATTTGTCTGCTGTGGTTAGCTAAGTGTTACACTGTAAAATGTTGCTATTCTTTAGCAACATTTCGGTTGGAAATAGCGAGTTAGTCAGTGTTTATTATTTTAATGTGGTCTTGTGGCTCAGGAATCAGAAGTGGGACCAAGTCATTGTTTACGGAGTGTGGTTTGAATAAATGAATCAATGAATTGAATTAATGGTGCACACTTTCTATATAATATGTATGTTAAATTTTATATTTGGGGTGAAATATCAATTCTTTTCAAGTAAACCGGTTCAAGTCCAATTCAAGTCCCAGGTCATTGGTGTAAAAGTCCAAGTCAAGTCACAGTCTTAGAACATTTTTTCAAGTCAAGTCTAAAGTCATAAAATTAATGACTCGAGTCTGACTCGAGTCCAAGTCATGTGACTCGAGTCCACACCTCTGTCAGGAATACGTAAATAGTATAGTTCACCTCGTTTGAAGTGATAACAGTCATAGTGAGTTTCATCTGAAAGTAGAGGCAACTCATCACTGTTGCTAAAACACATAATTACGACGTAAGTAAATTTTAACCTTAATTACCTAACATATAAAAGAAGTTGAGCTGTTTTATGTCAACAAACGAGGCAACACATTGTGTTGATCAACACATTGGAATACAATCTGGCTTATTTTGCTTGAATTGTGGCATTGTGAAGCTGCTGTACGTCCAGTTTTTACTTAATTCGTGAATCTTTTTTCTTGTATTAATTGATTACATCATCAAAAGGCTGGAATAAGCCCTTAAACAGCCGGGTGAGGCAGAGAGTGGGGGGGGATCCCACATGATTGTGAACTCTTTCTTTTGGGGAGACCAAAGGTGAAAAAACAGCTGAGTATTGTCTTTTGTCTTGTGGAAGGTATTTAAACCTAGGGCTGTGCCGGGTTTGGGAGAGACTCTGCTGGTCATTTGCCCTGTGATGGCTGTTCTCACTAAGCTTGGTTTTGTTCTGTTCTTTATTAAAGGATGGTGGCTACTGCTCGCCATTTAGGATTTATTAAATGAAAACTTCCACAAGAGCTGGCAAAATCTTAATTTGCATACTAGAATTAAGATTAATTAAGATTAATTAACAAATTTCACACAATTTGTGTCTGGGCCAACACCTAAAGACCACACTCTAGACCTTGTCTTGGGTTATGGACTTAATGTATCAAAGACTGAAACTTGTGTTTTATCTATTTTAGACCATTTAGGAATTGCATTTGATATTTTAATTCCTAGATCTCCAGCAAAACTGGGAAATTTGGGCACATTACCCCATTACTGAAATCTCTTCACTGGTTGCCTTGTGAAGTTCGAGCAGGTTATAAGGTCCTGTTGCTCATCTGCAAGGCTTTAAATGGTTTGGCACCTTTGTATCTCTCTGACCTTTGGCACCTCTGTTCCATCCCAAGCTCTCTGATCTCAGGATACTGGCCTTCTAAAAGTTCCTAAAGCCAGAAAATAGACTATTGGGGAACATGCTTTTTCTTTTCATGCCCCATTTTGTGGAACAACCTCGCTCAAGATATTAGGTAGGCAGTATGCTCTGTGAAGGTTTTTAAAGTCAAATTAAAGACCCACTTGTTTACTCTATCTTATGTGTCTTAATTCTATGCCTATCAGTTTTTAAATGTTATCAGTTTTTAAGTTTTTTCTGCATTACTTTTATTTATGTATTTGTCTTTTTATCTTCAAATAACTGTTCAGCACTTTGTTTGAAAGTGCTTTATAAATAAAGTTGTTATTATTATTACTATTATTAAGAGCACAGTTGAGGGACTTTTGGGGGAGGAATGTTGTTCCTCTTCCAATGTTTTATTTCATGTATTCCCTAATGGGGTTTTGGCACTCATTTAGTAGCTTTGTCATTTTGAAAATATGCTTTGACATTCTCAGCCAATTACTCATAATCTTTCAGTGCAGGGACATTAAGACTTTTCCATGCATCTATTGCTAGATGGTGTGCTGACTATCCAAGGTGTGAGGATGTAAACTAACATTTCAGGATATACATATAAATGGTGCTTTCCAGCAGTGTTCATCCAGTGATTTGCTCATTTGGCTCAACTGTCCCATTTCTACAAGACTTTTTGCACTTTCTTGTGAGGAGTTAGGAAACAGGTTTCTCTTTAGCCTAAAATGTGTTCTGCCAGGTGTTCAGGAAGAAAAACATGAAGTGATATATTCATCTACTGTCTCAGTGAGATACATTTTCATTCTTGATACTCTTCTGGGTGTTCACCTGAATAATAACCTGGACTGAAGCCACAACACTGATGCTCTTTACAGGAAGGGTCAGAGCAGACTCTACCTGCTGAGGCGGCTGAGGTCATTTGGAGTACAGGGAGCGCTTTTAAAGATCTTCTATGACACTGTGGTGGCATCTGTCATTTTTTACAGTGTTGTATGTTGGAGCAGCAGTTTATCGACAGCCGAGAGGAAGAGGTTGGATAAACTCATCAGGAAGGCCAGCTCTGTTCTGGGCATGTAAATGTTGCTGAACTGCAGAGCTCCTTCAGTGACAGACTGCTGCATCCTAGATGCATGAAGGAGCGTTTCCGCAGGTCCTTCCTCCCTGCAGCTGTCAGACTGTACAATCAGAACTGCTCCCAACAAACATAGATGTTTACATCTGCGCTGTAACTGCAATAATTTAATCAACCGATTCGCACTACAACCTGGTTTGCCTCTTATCTGTAGTTATTTTTATTTCATTTAATAACTGTACAGTACTCTCTGTATATAGTAACCATTGTCCTTAATGTAAATATGTATGTTTCTGTTCTGTGTCCTGTGTACTGTTTGTTTGTATATGTGTCTTTCTGGCTGCTGTTACAACCAAATTTCCCCTTGTGGGACAATTAAAGGATTATTCTATTCTATTCTAAAACACTTGTGAGCCTGCATTTTTAGCAAAGCCTCTCTGAAATTGATGTCCACCCTGCTAAAATTTAAACTCCCTCTCCTAAACATTGAGAGTTTAGAAAACAGTTCTTTATGCATCTCTAATCAGACAAAACTGTTTTTAGAGTTTTTTTTCATAGTGTTTAAATGAGCATAAAATGTCCTCTTTAGTTTTTACCAGGACGTCAGCAAGACAGAAAATGACTCTTTATGCTTTCCTTCTTCTTCTTTTTATACAGTAATAGCTCGTCATAGTTTCCTTGGTGACAAGTAACATGGTAACCTTGTATATTAGAATGAGTACTTGGTATTATGAGTAGTTGTGCATGGGCAGCATTAACATGCTCGTGTGCCATTAAAGGAGAAAACTGTCTTCAAATGTAAGGGAATTAGCTAAAATGGCACGTTTCAGACAGTGGAGGAAGTGAGGGGATGCACAATTGACTACTGTAAGAGAGAAAGGATCAAGGAAAGCTACTTTATTAGAGTCCACAAATACAGAATATAGAACTACAAATAAGCACACCAGACCCGCACTGAAATTGGATGCCTGAAACTATCTAAATTTAAGTATTTACAGTTAAAGCTTATTTTGTAAAACAAAATTCATTTAGGCCAAAAATGTATTAGTCAGATGTCTTATGTAAAGAAATGGTGCATTTCCTCATACTGCATGGGTAGTTTATTTAATCCAAATCCAGGACCAGTTTTCCTAAAGGGTTTTGTAAACGACAACCCACCGAGCACCCACCAAGAGTCCCAAGTGTCCAAGTTCAACGTTTTGCAGGGAGCATTTCTTTCTGGATTTTCAGAATTGCGTGTCATCACAGTGCAGAGTTAAACAGGCAAACTCTGATTGGCTGAGCACCCGCAACGTTGAACTGGGCGGCTCAGCAGCAAACCCAGCAGGGAAGAACTGCAAGTGACCACAGACCTTTAATTGCAGTTTGACCAAAATGTGCACTTGTATTTTAAATGTTAAAATCTATAAGTCAGTACAATTACATCCCATAATAGGTTGTTTTTATGCGGTAATATCACTACTGACAACCACTTCTGTGGCTTCTTAAGTGCCGGCTGTAGATGATGTGGTTGCTAGGTTTTAACCCTTTAAAACCGGTTGGAGCAGGCACGCTCTGTTTTGCGTAACTATTTTTAAATCCTGGTAGCACTGCAACCACGTAAGGTAGCGCGAAAATTTTTTTTTGCATATGAAACCGGAGGAGTTGTATTTACATCTTATGCCATCAGCTTGTCCTAGGTCACGGTTTCCTTCAACATATAGCTTTGCAAAAACTGCATAAAAACGCTTGCAGGAACACAAACATAATATTCCAGAAACATGCTTTGCCGAACACGTAACACTTCCTATGTTGGAATAGACGTCAGAGCAAACTTTCACATGTCCGCCATTGCCTGCCCGAAACCGGAAGTGATGTCATTTTCGCGGAAATGTAGTTTTTTTTTTACCATCAGGGCCTCATGAGCTATACTGGTGTTTTTAAAAGTTATCTTTGACTTAATGACTTTCTGTGTCGTTTCTGGGATGCTTAGAACTCATATTGCACTGCTGGAAATAGTTTATTTTGATGCATATGCTGCTTTTTTGCAAATTTGCACTATAATATTTATTTTCGGTTTTCCTGCAGTATATAAAAATTGGTGTATTTCAAAAATAAAACTATGAAGACACTTAAAATAAATTTCCTGTGGTGGGAAACTATTTTGTACAACTTTTTTGTATTTACAGTTTTGAGGGATAAGCCTTTTAAATTTCTCTAACTAGAAATATATGTTAAAAAACCAAAACGATTTTAAATTTTTTTGTAGTTTATTGCACTTTTTTGCAATTTATGTAATTACTATGTACTTAATGCATACATATTATTAAAATCTGGGTTATAATGGTTGTATTGATGTATATCAACTTGAAATGCTCCCAAAAATGGCACTACAACATGTAAAAATATAATATATGCTCTGGCGGACTTGGTTCTATGGTAGGTCTTAAAGGGTTAATAAGAGAGATAAGAGTTGCGAACAGCTCATATGAATTTCAAAGCTGTTTTAACAGTCCAACACTGGTCTCTCAATCTCCCGTTGGAGAGCCGTGAGCTTCTCCATGATGTTATCAAACTTGCGCTCTGTGATGTTGTCATTCTTGTGCTCAAAGAGCCGATTCTGAGAACTTGGCTCTCTGAGTGCAAATTGTAATCCAATTTGCAATCAGAGATCTTATTCTGAGTATTCACGGCAGCCGTAAGCCACTCCAAGATCTTATCCGTGCTGCACTCAATGAGCCCATTTTGAGAAACTCACGCCTCTTCCCATCATTTCCACCGGGCAGCCTTGATGGGGTTTGAACAGCCCGTTCCGCTTTCTTAATTCTTCGATAAGTCAGGGCCAAGCCAGCTCCGATCAGCAAGAACCCTGTTACCATGGTTCCGAATAGGTAGATATCTTCAGCATTCAGGCTGAATGAAGCCCAAACTTCTCGTTGAGAAAGGGGTGTCAATTGCATTTAGGGACCAGTTGATCAAATCCATAATTCCTCTTTTAGGTTTTAGAGAACAGACTGTGAGAGAGTGTTCCAGGGAAAAGTAATACAAAAAACACAAGACTAGACAAGGTCATAAGAGGCTAAGCAGGGAAGCTAAGGGAGAGGAGGAGAGGAGAAAAGTGCGACCGCCTTCGTCAAGAGCAAGAGCAGCATGAGGGTGGGAATGGATGTCTGTATCTGTGTGTGCCATCTATATGTCAGGTTGGGTATCAGACGTCACCTCTCTAGGGACATCTCAGGTCCTCCAAAGTATGGAGGCCTATCTCCCCCCACCACTTCCCCTGCCAGTGGTAGACGCCCTCAGACATTGGTGCATTGGTGGTTCCTTGGTGTCCGGGGTTGGGCATCCAGGTACACACCGGCTCACTCCTTGATGGCTGCTTGTCGGGGCCTGGAGCCTGGGGCTCGCTCGGGCCACTTCGGGGGTACCCTCAGCCTCTCGGCCTGGGGCTCGGTCACTCTGGCACAGCTGGCTGCCGGCGGAGCTCACGGGCACGTCACTGCAACCCCCCCTGGCTTCTGCGCCGCGGCTGCTGAGTGACCCCTCATCTCGGGCTCTCCTCAGCTCTTTCTGGGATAGTGGCGCGGCTGACCTTGTGTTGGTCTTCCTTGGTCTCTTGTGTTCTGAGGGCCTCTGAATGTCTGGAGTTTTGATCTCCTCCATACCTGCTTCATGCCCTAGAGGACGGGGCTGTGGCTCCCCACACCCTTTAGCACAGGGGTGTCGAACTCCAGGCCTCGAGGGCCGGTGTCCTGCAAGTTTTAAATCTCACCCTGGATCAGCACACCTGAAACAAATGATTAGCTCATTACCAGGTCTCTGGAGAACTTCAAGACATGTTGAGAAGGTAATTTAGCCATTTAAATGAGCTGTGATGGATCAAGGACGCATCTAAAACCTGCAGGACACCGGCCCTCGAGGCCTGGAGTTCGACACCTGTGCTCTAGCAGATCATTACATGAAGGAACCTTTTAAAACAAGCACGTTCATGCTCACAGGTGTACACACGGGTGCTCACGCACACAAACTACACCCTTTTTACTATACCTACCTTTTTCTTTCTCAACAGGTGATCCAGGTGATTGATATATGTATTTTTTGTCTGCTTATTTTGTTGGTTTTTGTTTTTTGCCCTTTATCCCCGTCCCTCTTCTCCGCTGTTTTTCTTTCCCTCTTTCTTTCTCCCCTTTCTTTTCCCCAGTCTTTTCCCAAAATAAACAATAAAAGGTGAATCAAATGGACCATTACGGCAAGGCTGGGATGGTCCATTTGGTAAAGTAAATCCGTTGGGTATCTTTCTTTGCCTTTAGACAATAATTCTGATGGCAAAAGAGCCAAACGGGACAGGCAAAACAAAAAAAAACCAAAACAACAAAAAAAGAGAGTGTAACTGTGTAAACTTCAAATATCTGCTTGATATATCAAGGCATCACATATTTGCAAAAGTGCTCTGATGTTTTCGGAGACACGTCTGTTACCCACCAGCTCGATAGCTGACCGGGTGGTCAAGGCTCACTAGAGCGGGCGAGAACACCAAACTCCCGGCACATTGTTTTCAGACCCCGTGGTCTTTTGCTACACAGTTTAAATATGATATATAAGTCACTTAGATAACTTAAGAATGTTATTGTTTGGCTTTTTCAGTGTTTTATTTGTTCCTGAATAAATCCTCAGTTTAGCTGACATTAAAGTTATAGTTTTCACACAGCAGAATAAGCGTCAAACAGAAAACTAATTAAACAGAAGTGTGAAATGGTCGAGAATTTACTCCAATGTCCTGTTATATTGTTGATAGACGGTTGCATTTATTACATTCCACCAAGACAATCTGCAAATTTCATTAAAAGTTTAACAAAACTATTATCTTGCCTTTATTTTTAGTTAGCACATACCTTAAACCTTTCAAGCTGTAAGCTATTGATAGATATATAAGAGCAGATGTATGCTGGTGCAATAAGCTGTCCGTTTTACGTTCTTTACTTTACTTTACTTTATTGATTTATATAGCACTTTTCACAGGATAAAAACCACAAAGTGCTTCACAATAACATAAAACAGATAAACATAAAAACAGCACAATCAAACATACAGCACAAACCTAGTTAAAAGCTAGTCTAAATAAATAAGACTTATTTAAAAAGACTCATTTAAAAGAATAAATAGAATCCAGGCAATGCAAAGATGGAGGGAAAGAATTCCACAACCTGGGGGCCAACGCTCTAAAAGAGCTATTACCTCTGGTTTTAAAATGTGTTCGGGGGATTACCTACAGCCTTTGATTAGACGACCCCAGGCTGCAAGAGGGAATATGAGGTTCTAATTGATCAGAAATATAAAGACAATCTTTATATACATTCAATGGGGCATGATCTGAAAATAATCGGTGACTAGTCGAATATCAGAATAATCGTTTCTGGCAGCCCTATCTGACTTTGTGCTGCTATCTGGTTTCACTTCCATTTCTCTGAAATTGTCTCTCTGTCATTTCCCTGGAGCAGAGGGGTTTTTTCCATGCCTAACACGCATACTATCTACATCATTCAGGTGAGCGATGCTCCACCTAGCTTTCTCTTGCTCTTCATGTTTACCAGCAAGGCCACACCTTAAAGCCAGCCCCCCTAAAAGATCAGGTGAGACAGAATCAGTGAGCATCGAGTCAAGAGCAGCTGGTACATCACATTCACTCAGCACTCATGTAATGATGCTCCCTGCACCCAGGGTAAGTTGCTTTATACTTGTCTATATTTGCACAAATTAATTAATCAAGGAAACAGGTGTGATGTAGACGAATTGCTGAGTTCTGTTTTAAGTTCAGACTAATACAGGAAAGGAAGAGGACTGGAAAGATGGGGGCTGGCAATAAAAAAAAGGACACGGATGTCACTCAGTCTGTTCCTGTTGTATCATGTGCAAAGGGAAGAGCTCAGCCCTGATGCGTGCAAAAGAATAAGATTTGTAAAGAGAGATAACTGGAAGCAGTGCAAAAAAACTACACTAGGATTACTTGTGCTTTATTCCTCCGAATGATTCATGCTATCTTGAAAAATGGAAGAAAGTCATGCTGAAAGTGAGTTTTTTAAAGGCAAGATTTGTGAATTTCAGGAAAACTAAAAAAGAGCTGTGGTGGAATGAAAAGGGGAAAAGGAAAGACAAAAGCCACACAATGTAGCCTCCACCTCACCTTGTTAGCTAGGAGCTTTGACTCATGCAGACAATATATTATTGATGTACTGAAACGTAATTTAAGCATGTTTAGTTATATAGCTCCTTTATCAGAGACATAAAAGGGCTGTATGACAATTAAAACACAATTAATATCAGTAGAACACCACGTTAAAATAAAATCAATTGAAAAAGAGAAATTAAAAAAGAATATTAACAGAAAAATGGATTAAATAGATGTTTTTAACTGCTTTCTAAAGGAGTCCACAGAGTGAGCTCAACAGAGTTAGAGTGGTAAAGTGGCAACTTGCTCAACCTGTAGAGCAAGTTGTATTCAAACGTCTGTGGCAGTGCCAGAATAGAGTCTGAATTATATTGGTTCAACTGCAGCCATAGTGTAATCTTTGTTATGTTTATGGATGTTAGTTTATCCTAGTCTCTTTAAGACATTTAGTTACGATAGGGGCAAACTGAGAAAGCTGTCTGCATTGTCACAATGAAGTGACAACGCTGTGTGTTTATAAATCCTTCTTAAAGCTCTTCTTTTAAGATGATGCCAAAAGATTTCCTTTAAGAATCATCCTGATGGCGGCTGAACATCTGAGTCTCGAGGCCCTGGCTGAGGCACACTGTGAGATTAATGTTGCTGGTTGTATTGTTCATTAGAAGGAGAGGTAAAAGGTAGGCAACTTCGTCAGTAATTGAATGTGTCTTGCCTTCAGTAGCCCATGTTGTGATTCTGAAGGAATTCATTGAGTCAAGTCTTTTTATGCTGTGTGATTTAATAGTCAGGAATGCTGGATAAGAGAGAAAATAGCAACTGATTTGACAGCTCAATATGTCTATAGCGATGCTGAGGGAAAGTGTTTCTGAACTCAAATAGTCGGGATTAGACGTGACAGAACTGAAATGGAAAAGTGGACAGCAAAGCTGTCATCCAACATGTTCCCTGTCAGGCTGTGTGCATTTACCAGAATGAGATGTAAATGTGAAAGAGAAGCTTTTGTTTCTTGTTGAATCCTGTTTGTAGCACAGCAGAACTTCTTTGTGTCTTGTATTAAAATGTTTCAAAACTTTCAAAAATCCTAAACTGTGTATGTTTCCCAGAACACATACAATTTTAAAGTTTGGACAGTTAAATGTACATGTTAATATTTTAACCAAAATTATGGGATAACAAAGATGTCCTTTCAAACAGCTCACTCATAATGTTGCAGGTGTGGGTTTGGTTCTTTCCGCAAAGAGGAGCTTTGATGGTGACTGACTCACTGATGGCAGGTGGATTCAAAAGCAAAAGCAAAAGCAAAAGCAAAAGCAAAAGCAAAAGAATAACAAGGAATAACAAAATCATATTTGTGGTCACAACAGCTTGATTCCTCAAAATTCATTTTTTGGCTTATCAGTCGTTCAGAATCGTTTTCTTGTTTGTGATTGTATGCGTTACTTTTGGGAAACAATACCAGGGAAAAATTGCAGTGGCTTCATAGTTACTGTTGTTGAATTACTCAGACAAACGCATTCATACACACTGGCGCACCCACTGACAGCATCACAAAAAGAACCTGAGGATTTAAATCAGCTTGAACTCAGAGACTACTAACCTTAATATGTCAATTGTATCAGCCCTAAAAACCTTTGAAATACATATCCAACCGGATACTTACTCTGGATGGCATTACCTTGATTTCCAGTAACACTGTGAGAAATCTTGGAGATGTTTTTGATAAGTTCTTCAGTGCGCATGTTAATTAATTATGTAGGACTGGTTTCTTGCTTTTGAGCAATATCTCTAAATTTAGAAACATCCTTTCTCAGAGTGGAACTGAAAGTTCATGCATTTATTACGTCTAGGCTAGACTACTGTAATTCATTATTATCAGGATGTTTGAAAAACTCCATGAAAAGTCTTCAGTTGATTCAAAATGCAACAAGAATACTGACAGTGACTGAAAAGACTAGCATATTTCTCCCATATTGGCTTCTGTTCATTTGCTCATTGATAAATTCAAAAATAAATTTAAAATCCTGATCTTAACACACAAGGTCTTGAATAATCAGGCTACATCTTATCTTAAAGATCCCATAATACCACATCACCTCAATAGATCACTTCGATCTCAGACTGAAGGGTTACTTGTGGTTCCCAGAGTATTTAAAAGTAGAATGGGAATTAGAGCCTTTAGCTTTCAGGCCCCTCTTCTATGGAACCAGGACCAAAACTCAGGAGACAGACACTGCTGGAGGAATTGCCATGATGCACTGACTGTTTTTTTCTTCACTCACCTGTTTCACTCTCCATATGTTTATACACCTATTTACATTTAATCATGAGGTATTATTAATCTCTGGCTTCCACAGCTGGTGTTTATCATGTCTTCCTCCTATCACGCCCAACCAGTCATGGCAGATGGCTGCCCTTTCTAAGCCTGGTTCTGCTGGAGGTTTCTGCCTGTTAAAAGCAAGTTTTTCCTTCCCACTATCACCAAACCAGTCTCTCAAACAGGTCATACGATTGTTGGGGGTTTTCTCTGTCTTATTGTAGAGAATTGACCTTGCTGTTCAATTATTGTTGTGATTTGGCAGTAAATAAATAAAACAGAATGTAATTGAATATCATAGAATGATATATTCTGGCTATTTGGAGCTTAAAAATATTTGAGTATTTGAAGTAGCCTTTAAATGACTCCTAGCAAGTGTGTGTGTTTGTGTGTGTGCTACAAATCCCTGACTGACACTGTTTCAATGTTTAAACCACAAAGATTCTTCTAACCTACTTTCTTGTTTGACTGGTCAGGTTTAGATCAAGAACTTCATTCCACCTGATCTCTTGAGGAGATCAATCATACCCCTCAGATTTCACTTCCCCTTCTAGGGCATCTGTCATGAACTGGAACTGGCTGCAGGCCCTTATCAGTGGGGTCAGCAATTACTCCACAGTGTTCGGTCGGGTCTGGCTCTCAGTGGTCTTCATCTTCCGGGTGATGGTGTTTGTGGTGGCGGCTCAGCGAGTGTGGGCTGACGAAAGGAAAGACTTTGAATGCAACACTAGACAGCCAGGCTGCACCAACGTGTGCTATGACCACTTCTTCCCCATCTCCCACATCAGTCTGTGGGCCCTGCAGCTCATCTTTGTCACATGCCCGTCACTGATGGTTGTTGCCCATGTCAAATATCGAGAGATGAAGGACTTAAAGTACACCACAACCCATGAGGGTAAACACATGTATGCCCGCCCTGGGAAGAAACGTGGAGGGCTGTGGTGGACATACCTGGTAAGAATGAAGGGTGCTAACGTTTAATTCCAGTTATGTTGTGTATGCCAGACATAGAAGGAGATTAGCAATTATAATGTATGAGCAACAAACTTCACCACACCTCCAAACTGAGGTGAAGTTGTATGTGTGATGACTTTGCAAGAGTGGTGGTATTTTGGTATCTATCCAATATCAAGTATTGCAGATGCAGATACCAAGATATTAATACTACCTACCTAAACTTGACTTTAGAAAAATAGATGTAACAGTCAGCACAAAAATGCTTCTAAACATTTCTACATATATACATATATTGAACTTAGAGGACAGAAAAAAAGTACAGATCATATCATCCTAGTATTATTCTGATACTGAGACTAGCCTTAATTATCTATATTTGGAGAGATCTGCCCATCTCTATTTGCAGTCATTCGATTCTTTCTTCCTTTAAACAGCCATATAATACCAAATGTTCAGTTTGTTTTAACTGATTTTGGTATATTTTGGTATTTGGTAATATCACGAACCTTCATTTTCTAGATAATCAGGATGAAGAGTCCTCAGTTAGGTTACAAATTTTACATGGGGTCACTTATCTTTTTTTTTGTAACTGGCTAAACATCATAATAAGAACTCGAATAAGTGGCTGATATAAGTTACAGTAATTATTGAACCTTTAAAATCAATCCTGCCAAACACAGCCATTATCAACTAAGAAATCACTTGGACTTTACTTTACTTTAACGCTCATTTGTTTTCTCATAGGTTAGCCTGATCTTAAAGGCAAGCTTCGACGCTGCTTTCCTCTACATCCTTTATTACATCTACGAAGGGTTCGACTTACCCCGTTTGTTAAAGTGTTCAATGGATCCTTGCCCGAACATAGTGGACTGTTACGTATCACGCCCCACAGAGAAGAAAATCTTCACTCTCTTCATGGTGGTGTCCTCTGCTGTCTGCATCTTGATGTGTATCTGTGAGATGTTTTACTTCATCTGCAAGAAAGTCAAGAAACGAATCACTGAGAAAATAGATGAAAAGACTCGTGAGTTGAAGTCATCGTCAACACCTCATTCAAGGCACAAGTCTAGATCATCTTTGAGAGTGGATCCAACAGTGTCTAACCAGAACCTGAATAACATCAAGACTGAGGAGACACCAACCACGAAATAAGAACCATCTTGCTCGGGCTATTCTGAAAAACTAATTGAATAACTCCAGGTTCCACTGGAAGCAAATGAATCCTTCCGACTGCTTGCAGAACTGTTGCTCATGGAAAAGAAAATAACTACGCAGTGATTTGTAAATATTACCATGTTAAATGAAATTCAGCATGGAAAACGACAGCAAAATTGTGGGTCAAAGAGGAAGCTATTTTTTGTGCATGTATGCTCTGTGTGTGTATGAGTGTGTGTCTTTATTCATGCTTTTATGTAGCCAATAGTAAATTGTGACTGGCCAAGCACATCACGTTCTTGAACACAGTAAGTGGAGATGAAAAGATTTGAAGAAAATCTCTTTTATTCTTGCACAAGAACCATTGTCAACCATAATGAAGTAAGACTACAGCTATTATAGTTTGTTTTAAATGATGAGGGGGTGGGGTTGTTGCAATATATAAAGTTGTTTCACTGTTAAATGTTTGTGTATGTGTCTTTTTTCATGCATTTCACAATTATCAAGCGGTTACCAGGTCAGTTGGGAAGACTACATGCTGTAAGTGAACCTTATATTCACTTTAGGATTACACGCTGAGTCACTCACAAATTACTTCACAATCGGCTTCACACAAAGCTTTACTTTACAATAGAGATAGACATATGACCCCGCCTTACTTGTTCTGGCGTCATCCGAGTTTCCACACTACCGTCCAATCAGAAGCAGAGGACACGGGTGCGGTTTTGATAGATAGGACAACGCACCAATGGTGAGCGGAAACCGGACGTCGCCGTATTTGCCCTTACGGATGCTTCGTTGTAGGAAGTAAAGGCTGTCAAATATGAGTTTCCACTACGGACAGGTATTGAATTCCCGTATTTTATATTTTGTTTTTGTCTTCATAATAACATACTAATGTTGTTTATTGAGTTTATCTCTTTTATTGACCAATGTGACGTAACTAACAGCACCGCAAGTAGTTTCGGTTATTCATTTGTCTGCTGTGGTTAGCTAAGTGTTACACGGTAAACTGTTGCTATTCTTTAGCAACATTTCGGTAGGAAATAGCGGGTTACTCTGTTTATCTTTTAAATGTGGTCATGTGGTTCAGCAAAACGTAACTACTCTAGTTTTTCTCGTTTGAATTGATAACAGTCATGGTGGGTTTCATCTGAAAGTAGAGGTAACTCATCGTTCTTGCTCAAACACATAATTATGGTGTAAGTACATTTTAACCTTAATTACCTACCATATAAAAGAAGTTGAGCTGTTTTATGTCAGTAAACGAATCATTGATCAGCACAGTGGAATACAATCTGGCTTATTTTGCTTGAATTATGGCATCGTCCAGTTTTTACGTAATTCGTGAATCTTTTTTCTTGTATTAATTGATTACATCATCGAAAGGCTAGAATAAGACTTTGTTTCACATGTTTAATTATCTTTGCCTGAAAAGTATTTAAAACCACTAATACACTACCAAAATGCATCTGTATTTTTTGTTGTTTTGTTTTGTTTTAGCCTTTCACATAAAATTACCCACCTCAGTGTCTGTGTGGTAACTTCACATGAGCAATCTCATAATTATAAACCAATTCCATGTTTTTCCGGGCAAAATCTTAATTTACATGCTGATTGTAGCTTTCAAATAAGTATGCAACATTTAACTTAATTAAACAAATACAATATTTTTCTCATATTGTGAAGCGCTCATTGGTGCTAAATAAACTGCTGTCTGTGGCATGGCCATGGGAACTCTAGGGGTGTAGGCTCTATGAGTTCTGAGTCCAGATCAAACCTTTATATTAAACCCACTTAAACATTGCTACAGACAACACAATCCTGCTTATGCCTTAAGGTATTACCAGTTAGTTGCATCCACCCTTAGAGGGGCAATGTACACTGCAAAAACTGCTGAATGAGAGGTACGAGAAAGAGTCCCCCAAATCAGTCTAGTTGATCATCCACTGGATGCTCCCAGGAACGACCACAATCTGTGAAGGCCGCAGCGGACAATCTACAGGACTCCAGAGATCCTGTTTCCAATCCTTACTATGTCAGAGCTGTTTTGCAGGCACAGAGGGGGGCTATACAATATTGAGCAGCTGATTTTAGTATTGTGGCTAATGATTACATATTTTCCCCTGAAATGTTAAACAAGTGGAGTACAAAGTAGCAGGATCCAAGGCAACAGAAAATACATGACCTTAAAACTAAACTTAAGTACAGAATTTGAGAATATAGTCGAATAGCCATACCTGAAGTATCTTGTGTCTCTGTTGTCCTCAGACTCTGTTACTGCAGAAGCAGTAAGCCTGTTTATTATATGGTTTAGTGACCCTTGCTTTTTTGTCCCTCTGCAGGGCTATCCAGTTGGAGTCAACCCGCCACAGGGTGCGCCATACGGTGCAGGCAGAGGTTCCTATGGGCCTCCCCCATCAGCTCCTTACGGAGGTCCTGGAGGTCAACCAGGAGGCCCCTATGGTGGTTATGGAGTTCCAGGTCATGGAGGGCAATATGGGCCAGGGCCAGGTGGTGCCCCTGGTGGGCCTTATGGGGGTTATGGTGGACAACCGTATGGGAGACCTAATGCAAACTATGGTCCTGCAGGTAATTATGAGATGAGAGCATATCTTTGTAAGCATCTGTGGTAGCTCTGCCTGTAGAATTTAAGCTGGCATACACTGAACACAAGGAGACTGCAGATAGACTCTGATTCTGCTTCCACATTGCTTCCCCCCTCACTCTCCGCTGGGATGATGGATAGAAAATGACTTGCGTTCCCAGACAGTCTTGTAGAGACAGGGTTCAGTTTGTGCCCCTCAGCAGGATTACACGGCTGGAGTGATGACTCCGGTAATACTGAGTGAGGGCTAAACAGAGTAAGAGACAGATGGGCAAAGAGTGTGTTTGTGTGTGTGCGTGTGTGTGATTACACTGTTTCCAGTAGTGGCTAAGCCTAAGTCAGAACCTGATAGCCTATGTTACGATCAGTCCCCACAGGGACAAAATCCATCAAGGGTCTGCCCTCAAGTGTCACCTGTCCCTCTCTCCCAATTCATTTTTCTGACAATCAGTCCCCCCTCTACTGCTTCCTTCAAGTCACACCATATTTTTCTAACACCTCCTTTTTCCAGATAATGGCCTCTTCTCGAGACGGCTTTTTGTCAACCTTTGACCCTATCTGCACCTTCATTTTCACAGCCACTACTTATGAAACCTGAACCTGTATAACTAAGGTTGGACATGTAGCCTTTAGAAGAATACAAACTGCTTTACTAACTGCAGGAAGATTATTTGGATCCCTTCTTTGTTTTTTCCATATTGTAAAACAAATGTGTATTTGAAGGGGCCCCGTCTAACTGTCAGATGAAATGCAATTCCTGTTCTGTTGCTCACATTTGCATGCAGCTTGTGGAAGCAGAACATCAGGCAAAATGGCAATGAGACTTACATGAGCTGTGTACGAGACTGTGTTGCAGTATCATACATTCTGCATTCACAGATGTACAACAGCTGAAATACCAGGGTACATACTCAGTATCAGTTTAATTGACTCATTATAGTTGACTCTGGTTATCAATGCCAGATATATGTTGCATAGCTAATTTCTACCTACTCATCTATCGGCCCCTATTATTGGTAATGACTACATTTATATAAAATATTATTTTAAAATAAATAAAAATTCTCAACACAAAGCCTGTTTAAACTGAAATGTTTTTGTTTGCTGCTTTTTAAAAGAATGAACAAGGCCAACTAAAATCAGTTGTGGTAGTACACTGCTCCACAGCCGTAGTGGCACAGACCGAAAGGTTCTGTCCTTCCTATTCTGTTCCTGTTCCTTCCTATTAATCAGCCATGTAAATCACCCTCACCTAGCTGAACATGGACGCTTAAAAAAAGCTAAAGCTATCCAAACTTTAGAGCCAACCACAAGCTAGCAGCCTCGGTATGAGCAAAAGATCGAATCAGTTATGAAGAAAATTATGGAGATGAGTGAAAAAGAGAAAAGGATTGATGTCCTGTTATCTAGTTAATTTATAAACATACTGGAAAATGATCCAAGTAACTGAACTTTATTTTGTTAAATAAATCTGTAGCACCAGTTTTTTTTGTTGTTGTTATTATTTTTTTTTTTTTTTTGGGGGGGGGGGTTTAGTAAAGAAAATGTATTAGGTAAAGGTGGGTGTACAGTTCCTCATTTTTAGTTAATTATTTGCACCTCTTTCCAGTACCAGAGCACTTTATTTTCAACTGTTTAAGTCAGAGAAGATCTCGTAACTTACTGCAGTGTAGTTATTTATTTTATTATGAAAATAATATTTTGCAAAAGTTGAAAGAAAAAGTTGTTTTATTGATTGCATATGCTTTTAATTAAACTTCTGTGAAAAAAAATCCAAATCAAATTGCCAAATATTGGTATTGGCAGGTTACACTTTAAAACAACAACAACTGGAATCAGCCAAGAAAATTCAATTTGGTGAATCTCTTGTTCTTTGGTGAAAATACATGAATTACAGTTTCATACAATTAACAATTGACAGCTCAATACATTAGTTTTCTACTTCAGAAAGTATGTCCACTACATGAGTGTTAATAAGGACACTACTGTTAGTTAATATTAACCAGATAACCGTTCAAGTTTCAGTACAGACTTGATCCCAAAAACCAAGTGACCAGCAAACCAAATTTCTGTTTGGCCGGGCGGACTCCAGTGGGCTCCCCTTCTAAGCTAACAAAAGCTTTTGTTGCTCGCTGTTGATACTGGCAGTGGAAGATGGATATTTATTTAAGGCACTCAGGAGTGAGCATGTGTGTCACATAGTTGCAGATGTGTGCAGAGAATTTACTGAATAGTTCACATAGAAATCAGTCCACAGGCTATTAGAGCAAACAGAGAGTCACAAAAGGCCTCATATTTTAAAAAATGTCACACTACTATCCATTCAGACATTAGCGATAAAAAGCATCCGCTAGAGAAACAAATGTTGCATACTACATGTTTAATAAGTATAAATAATATCAGGCATAACTGTCATCACTAAGACGTGTTATAGTTGGTATGCTCTCTTACCCACACAGCAAATAACATTTCAAAACTCAAAGTGCATATAGAATGTAATTAGCTGTAGGAGTTGTTTGGTGTGTCACTTGCATATGAAGTAGTTTTTTTCTAACTAGTCATTTTATACACTGCTCTTTTCTAAATTGGTGGTTCTAAACACCAAAAGACTGAGCCAAGCATAGATGTATTATTTTTTATGATCAATTTTCTTCTTGACAGACTCAGCACAGTTTCAACTGTCAGACAGCCGAAGCGCGTTTCTTCATCTCCTGATAAATAAATGATTATTTGGCATTGGAGTGCGGTAGTCACTTCATTTCCAAGAATATTTCTTCTTCTTTCTTCTTTTCCTTTTTTTCCCCCACACTTGTTCACTACTCCTGAGAGGTTTAGTGAAATAATAACTGGTAGAAAATATGAGGAGGGGAAATAATAAAGAGAATAAATCATACTAGGTGGTTGAGACGGATTGACGAAAAAAAGATGAACGGCAGTGGAAACAGCTTGGAAAACAAATTTGAAGCCATGGGAATCTTTAAAGTCAGTCAGAATGCATTTCTTTCCTTCTCTGTCTCATTACCGCACTTATTTTTTTGTCTTTGTGTAGGTAACATCCCTCCTGGTGTTAACCCAGAGGCGTACCAGTGGTTCCAGAGTGTTGACACTGATCGCAGTGGCTTCATCAACCTAAAGGAGCTCAAGCAGGCACTTGTCAACTCTAACTGGTCTTCCTTTAATGACGAGACTTGCCTCATGATGATCAGTAAGTCATCCAGCAGCAGCTAAATAAAATGCTCAACAGGCCGTGAGGTAGCGCTGTGTTGATGAATTGGTTGTGAATGCTCTTATAGTGTTGCTGAAGGCAGAATGACACACAATTTAACAATGTAAAATACTCTCAGTGACCTGAATGGCTACAGCAGAAGGAGGCAAAAGTTTATTTAGACAAACAAATGCATAGAGAAGTAGTGGGAAAAAGGAAGTAGGCTGGATTTATATAGGAGTACTCTACTCCCCACTCACTATACTTAGATTGTTGCCCTCTGGGACCCAGACCCAGATAAATGGTAGAAAATAAATGGATGGATGGAAGTACCTCCCTAAATCTATCAAGCTTGTAAACAGAAATGTCTTGAGTTTCTAAAACAGGGAGAAATTTATGCCGCCAGGAGTCAGCCTAAATAATGACTGAGTCATGTTTGTCGCTGTTCCCATTGTTGTTGCACAACTATCCCTACATTCCAGTTGTGCTTACCAGGCGGTGACTAATGTTTTCTATTACCATAATGAGAAGCGAGTGACTGCTTTGAAGTAGCACAAGGAGAAGATCCATGATGATGAAGGATGAGTTTAGTGGTTCTGCTTTACAAAAAAATAAAAAAGCCTCTTTGTCTTGCCTGGCTGAGCCTGTGTGTTTGTATTTCCTGTTAGACATGTTTGACAAGACGCGGTCTGGTCGAATGGACCTGTTTGGCTTCTCAGCACTGTGGGACTTTATGCAGCGGTGGAGAGCAATGTTTCAGCAGTATGACAGAGATCGCTCAGGATGTATCAGTGGCATGGAGCTACAACAAGGTATCAGTGTTTGCACATTTGACAACATGTTGAGAAAAGTCTGTGACTTAAATCATTTCATCCAATCGTATAAATGCAAATATGCACATATGTCACTTTCTCTTCTCAGCTCTCGCTCAGATGGGTTACAACCTCAGCCCCCAGTTTTCAGAGACGCTGGTCCAGCGCTTCACCGTGCGAGGTGCCCGACCCGGCATACAGCTGGACCGCTTCATCCACGTGTGCACGCAGCTTCAGAGCATGACTCAAGTGTTTCGGGAGAGAGACACGAGCATGACGGGCAGCATCCGCCTCAGCTATGAGGACTTTCTGTCCGGTGCTGTCACCAGGCTCATGTGAGCCCCGTTCCACCGACTGCCCCTCTGCACAGCCTCACTCCATGTTCAGGTCACAATCGCTCCCTTTTTCGCCATAAGTGCCCCCACATGCGGCTATGTATACATCATGCCAGTCCATGTTGTTGCGTGGCTTATTGCTGTAAATAGACAAAGCTCAGCAACATATACCTGAATAAAGTCCACTGGCTCTTTTAAATGGAGCTAAAGGTTTCACAGGTTAACTTATAGGATGGCGCTTCATCATATTTATACTGTTAAAATGTTGAAATGTTGTATGTTCATATTAAAAATGGCCAAAGCTAAAAAAAATAAAATAAAATAGGGTAACATATATGCAAGGAGACTCTGAGCCAAAGCCTCTGGCTTCAAAATGCTCTAATAACTTCATTTCAATCATTTCTTTAACATTTACCTGTGTGATGTCAATCAAAGTGAACAACCCTAACTAATATGGTCATGTCATGCACACAGAATGGTCACACACTCTGCCAATCAGAAGGAAGGTAGGAGTGAAGGGAGGTGAAGCAGCTTGTTTCAGCTAGCGTATGAAGCAAGTTTCATTATAAAATATATAAAGATTGGGTTACTTTGGAGTGACTGTGCATGAATCACACTTTAAAACAGAATCCAAATTGTACTGGGAAGTCAGCAGGATGCCAAAACAGTTTACCTTGGTTGCCTTGGTGACATGTGAAAAGTATTTACTTGTACTTTTCCCTGTGAATTTGCACACAAGCAGCATTAATGTGTTCTTGTGCCATAAAACTGTTCAAATGCCTTTTAAATTTATGCACATCAAGGGTATTTCCAGAAGGTACTCACTTTCAGTAAATGTACATGATATTGCATATTACTTCAATATAAGGTCTGTTAGGAAATCTGTATAAGAACTTCTACTGAAAAGTAAAATAGTTTGAATCTGTCACTATTTTTAACTGCTCGCAGTAAGATAAGATGGATAAAATTGTGCCTCACTGCATCCTTTGGTTTCTTCTTGTTTTTTTACTTCAGTACATTTATCTTTGATATATGAATAATACACTCCACTGAGGTATATATGCTCATTAAACATGTCATGATGGTTTGTAATGCCAAAAGCAAATAAATTTTCATATGTATGAATGAGTTCACCACCAGTTCTGAATGCATATTGCATGCATATTAATAGAATAATTAAGCACAGAGTGATTTCATTAATATTACAGTGAAATGCAGTCAATCAAGTACAGGTTGAGAGTTTGTAATAATCTGTTAGTGAGCCCTGAATGTTTCGAAGTTGGATTTTCTTTAAGAGCACTTCTGATTAGCTGAAATTCAAACCCGACTCAGAGTCTCTGTCTTTCCTTTCCACATTTGGCACTTCTTTTTACTCACCATCTGTTCCTCTGACAGCCTGTGCCACGAGTCCCCCAGCTTCATCCCAAATCAGAGGCAATCTATCAAATTCTCTTGTGCATCTTTTTTGGTCATATTCTACACCCATCTCCTGCTTAGCAGTCTCCCTGCATCTTAATCCAGGGCTAAATGTAGCTGTCACTGATCCCTTAGGGCACTTTGTGTCATATGTGTCACATCCCTGCCACCGCCCCCTGCATTTGTTGACATATGTTTAGCATCTGGACTGTTTTCAAAACACTGAGTTCGGCAGATTTGAAACCGTGGCCAAAAATGCACCGTGCTTGAGGAGCTGTGCCACACGCTTTTTCAGGCTTCCCTGATTCAGCAGTGATTTAACCAAAGTCTTGTCTGTCAATTTTCGGGTAATGAGAAAAATTTCCCACCACTGACCATGCCTGACATCTGTAATTAACTTGGGGAGAGCAGGTCTACAGGGCTTCAGTCAGCCACTCTGTCAGTCTCGCTTTGTGATTTGGATTGATAAGGTGGTTGTATTTTTACATTGAAATTTTGGCTAGTGCAACTCTAAATCTCATTTGCTAATAAACAGGAACTGATGAAATAATCCTGTCACTGCCAAGTTTGCTATTAAAGCGGAACTGGCACTAGTGATGTTGTTTTCCATCAGGCGATAAGCACATTTCACTTTATTTGACAGGACTGATCAAATTCCAATTCTGGCAACTACAAGATGGACAGCACAGAGGGAGGAACTGCTTGAGAGAATAATTTTGAAGCATGAAGCGTAATCACCCACACAGTTCTAAGCAGCATTGCAAGTAATGATAACAAATTTTGATTTAGCTTTATAATCCCCTCTCTTTGCCTCTGCACAAACAGCCATGGAGTCAGAGATGGTCATTCCTTCATGACAGGCTGCATTCCAACTGCTATGGATCAGCTTTGTGCCCAGCATTGGTAAAGCTGGCCCAGGAGCTGAAATATCAGTATCATCAATCATATACCCTTTTACTACCCAGAAACAACAGTAGCATAGAGGAATATTTTTGCCTCGTGTAGCCAAGTCTGAACTGTATGGTTTCCTACTCTGTGACTAAAATGTATTATTTTCTCTGCATTCCTCACAGACAGCCAAAAAAAACCCTAAACTTTAAATTGCGGCTTTATGCAACGCACTAAGCTTTTGAAAGTGCTTTTAAACTAAAAGAAAACTATCTTGTCACTTGATGGTTTTGTCATACAAGAGGGGGTAGCTCACGCCTTGTCAGTGTGTAGCACAATGCTGGTGACAGATCTGTCAGCCTTTTGTGAGGATTTCTTGAAAGTATTTGTGGGGAAAAATACCACCGAATTTTTAAACACAGAAAGAGGTGGCTGCTTTTTGTTTTTTGTTTTTTTTTTTAACTAGTGCTAAGAACTGGACAAAGGTCTCGTGTATTTTAGGCTAGGTATGTTGATTAGATTATGAATTAATGGTGGTTTTTCATTGTTTGCTTGTTTTTTTCTATTTTTATTTATTTGTTATAGTATTATGTAATTTATTAAATGTCAGCAGTAAATGGTACTGATCATTCACAATGCACTTTCTCTACTCGGTACAAATGTCAAAGTAGTGTAGCGTATTATCTTTACCGCTAAGAGGCGCTAAAACACCGCGAGATATTGTTACGTCTACGCGAAGTTCGCCAGCCAATGACGATAAACCAGGAAGGATACAGACTTTGACACGGAAATTGCGTCACTACAATACCAACGTGCTAGCGGTAAAGGTGAGTATTTACGACATTTGGGGCTTTTTTCCCCTAAATATTTGAGTGTTTGTAGGCAGGCACAGAAGCTCGGTGAATGTATGTTGTGCTCTGAATTATCATTCCTCGAGCTGTCTTTGTGAAGTAAACAGAAAGCACACTAGCCGGTAGCAGCTCTCAGTTTTCTTACATGACTTTCACACAGTAGGTTTCGTAACACTACGTTAGCGTTAATTCTTTTCATTGTTATCGTTTTAGACTTATACGCTGTGCTAGATTTGGTCGAATCAAGTTCACAGTCATTCATATCGTATAGCTGGACTTATAATTTATAATAGTCCTCCGTAGCGAATTTTATCATATAACTTTAAAGAGTCATGCAAGCTGGGAAACGCAATATGTTTGAATGTAAACTGGTGAATTGTTGAGAATACCTCTTGAGTTCGGCTCTCATGAAACACCCAAACGAGTAAAAATTACCGGGATATTTCAACTTGTATTGAAGGTTAATCAGGCAGTCGAAGGCTGTTACTGCTACTTGTGTTGCTGGTCGGGCTTAAGAGAAAGAGGGCATTGGAAGGACACAGACGTACTCATTATACTGTCTGGTGTTTGACGACGTCCTCATGTGCACTTTGGCCTCAGTTATTTCGCACATTAAGAAAGTATTTCAGAAATGGGTAGACACATTAAGTCATATTAATTTTATCCAAAATAATTTCTCTTCAGTAAGCTAGCACATAGCAGTCTGTGAGTGAGTCATTGATTTATCTAAGCAAAGAAACAGGGTTTTTATGCTGATCTGGGTTTGTTGGTAATTAGTAGTTAGATGAATCCTATAAGTTACAAGATTTCTCCACTAATCAGAATTGAATTAAAGCCACAAGGGGTCAGCAACTTAAACAAAAAGGGCAGCAATTTTGAAGTAGTAAAATCAGACCTAATAAGCTACAAATGTTCACGGCAAGTTACTAAAAGTGATCTATTATGTTTCTGTGCTATGAGCTCAGACGCTCCATCCACATGCTGCTCAAATCAATCTAGGTATTGGCTTGTTTCTGACACTGAATGAAGTGAAGAGCTACACTAATAACACATATAGTGAATAAAAGTTACTTTGAGCTCAGAATTATGCAAACTTGTTCTAGTACACAGCAGGAAAATGCAGAGTTGGACGTGAGCAAATTAAGCGACAGACAACCAATAACATACCTTTTTTCTCCTCCTCTCTTGAAGCACCTGGGATCCCAGAGCTGCATGCAGTCATGTGGCCTGTAGTGTGGACAGCGTTGCGGACCTATGCTCCTTATGTCACCTTCCCTGTGGCTTTTGTGGTCGGAGCAGTGGGCTATCACCTGGAATGGTTCATAAGGGGCACCCCCAAATCCAGGGAGGAAGAGAAAGGCATCCAGGAACTGAGGGAAGAAAGAAAGCTGCAGGAGCAAGTGGGCATGGACAGCACAAAGGTGCTGAGCCTCAAAGAGAAACTGGAGTTCACACCTAAAGCGGCTCTGAACAGGAACCGACCTGAAAAGAGCTAATCCCCTGTTTCTGTGATAGACTTGCGTTTGACCTTTTTTTTTTCCGCTGGAGGACTGTGCACTGAGAGCAGAAGAGAGGGCGATCATTGAATCATACATTCTTCCTTATTCAGCTCAGCTCCATTCTCATGGAAACCCGCAGCAAAAACTTGCCTGGGTGAACACTGGGAAACTTTTAGTAGCTGGAATATAATTATTTCTTCTCCATAATCAAACAAAGGTGTATGTATTAGGCTGTACCAAATTCTCCAATCATCTACTTGATGGTGCATGTGCATGCTTTTTATCAATAACTTAAGCCATCCACTGCCATTAGAACACCTTATTGTAGAACCTTTGAGTGTTCGGTCTTTAATCTGACAAAGTTTTATGTGATTTGGAACCGACTTGGATGGATTACATACATCTGGTTGTGCCAGTATGGTAAATGTATATAATTGCGACTTTGTTATTAAGTCACTCAAATGTCATTTGTCATTTCACGACTAATTTTCATGTTACAGACCTGTCTGGGTTTTGGGGGGTTTTTACTCCTTTTGATCTTTTCTGTTTATAGAGACAGGAAGTCTGGCTGTCATAAAAGAAGAGAAGAACGACAGGACTTTGCTGGAACCTTTGATGATATGTGACAGAACATAAGCCAGCATTGTGGGCGGTCTCCCAGGATGTTTAAGCTGCTTAGTTGTATTGTCTGTAACCATGTGCTCAATACTTTCATTTTAGAAAGTCTGGATTTGCACACTTTAAAAAAAAAAACAGTAATAATACGTGTCTTGCTGAAAAAAATGTGATAAATAAAGAAGTTTGTGTGCTTCAGGTGTTTCCTTGAGTGATGTTTCAGTTAATTTTTACAGCTTCTATTTGGGAATTATCAAAAAGGATCTTTCATGAAGTTAGTTAATTCTTACTTTAATTTTAAAAAGAAAGAAAACACTTGAACTCTGTGTCAGCGCTGTTTCACGTTCAGTTCTGAGCAACTGTGTCGAATCTCTTTTTGTGAAACAATGCTTCTGCCAGTGGCGGAAAGTAACTTAAAAGTCAAAGGAAGGAAGTAATGACTCCACTCGTTCAGCTTCAAGGGGGAAATTATTATGCTGGGAAACCATTAACTGATTCACCTTTGGAATTTAGCCCTATTTGGCCATCTTAAATCGATTAAAGGAAAGAGCGATCCACTTGAAGCAAGACGTTTTATTCTCTGGTTTAAAAACGTAAACTTTAACAAGTATAATGTTTCTAATACTGTAAATATATAAACAGCTTTTAGCAAATTTCTAGAGATAATTGCATGTAAAAATGTCAACTTCCCATTCATCAATTTTATTCCACTTACCTGAATAAAGGTTGTGAAGGACATGGAGCCTATCCTGACTATCACACGCCGAGAGGCTGGGTACACCCTGGAAAAATCACCACTTTGTCACATTTAATTGAACGCCAGTATTTTCTTTGCCATCTGAAGTTTTATGTATTTTCT